TCCACAGTCCTGAGCAATGTTTCTCGAGGAATGGCTGCGCAAGCTGTACGGATTCGTTCCATCATATCCTCCCTCGAGGTTGGCCGTTGTGCAAAAACAACATTTTTCATGTACCTCCACAAGAAAAAGTCGGGTGACGTGAGATCCGGCGAAGAAGCAGGCCATTCAATTGGTCCTCTTCGTCCAATCCACCTGCCATTATAACGATTATTTAAAAAGTCCTGTACAATACGTGCAAAATGAGGCGCAGCACCATCTTGTTGAAGCCACATTCTTTGTCGCGTTGCCAAGTCAACATTTTCCAAGAGACCGGGTAAATGGTCCCTTATCAACGCTAAGTAGCTATGCCTGTCAACATTTTGATCAAAAAAGTAAGGTCCAATAAGATATCCGTTTACGATTCCGTACCAGACTATGAGACTCCATCGATTTTTATGGTCTACAGCTCTAAACCAGTAAGGATTTTCGTGTGACCAATAGTGACAGTTATGTCTGTTCAGCTGCCCGTCGCTATAAAACTTAGCTTCGTCGGAGAAAAGTAAGTATCGAAAAAAATAGGGATCATTTTGTATGGTTTGCAAAGCCCATTGGCAGAAATTAATTCGCGCTAAAATATGACGCGGCTGTAAGGCTTGCGTTAGAGTGATGTGGTAAGCGTGATAATTTAAATATCTTAAGATTCTCGAAACTGTACTTTGCGGTATACCCGTTTCTCTTTCAATCTGCCGAGTACTAATGTGCGGATCTAAGTGGACAGCTGCGAGAATTGTTAGGGTTCGAACATCATTATCTTCATAATCATGATGACGGCGTTAGCGAACAAGGTGCCCTTCGCGAGCTCTTTCAGTTAAGGTTCTTATTGTCATATTAGAAGGGTGTCTTCTATCTGGAAAGCGTACAGCATAAAGTCTTGATGCAGCGGCGAAATTGTTGTGACAGTCTCCTAAAATTAATATTATATCAACAATTTGTGTTGGTGGATAATCAGCCATATTACGAAATTTCTTCCGGATCAAGTACAAGAAGTGTGAATAGTGATTTAATAACGAGGTAGATTTCAAGGAATAAATAAAATATTACAAATAAATCAATGGCTAACATAAGCTCAATTTTTTTCAATAATACAATTAAAAGTAGTTGAAAAATGATAGTACCACGATAAATTTCGCCATCTAATGAAAATCGGTCAATCTTTGAGCATTAATATCTCGGAGACAAAAAATAAAATTTTAAGTACGTTTTAAATCTTGAGTCAGATCCTTCAATCAGTTATTATTTTAATTCGTAATTAATAAAAAGAAATTGTATCAATAAGCTAGGGCCATTCTGTGTTAGAACTTAGACATATTTATTGATACAGCAATATCAAAAATAAATCTAACAGTGGTGAACGCAGTACGAGCTTCAGACTAGGGATTAAGCGATTTTCGAGTGCATTTTAAAGAAACTTGAAACAAAAATTAGCTAGACCAGGTACTGTACTCTGAAAAAAATTCTGAAAACGAAAGGGAACTTCGAACAATTAATCCGTGGCTAATCGAACTTGAGAGGAAAGGGGAATCGAGATAATCTAGCACTCCGACGTGAGAGGCAAGGGGACTCACGATAATCTAGCACCCGAAAGGAAACAGAACTTACTACGTCCACGTCGTTGTTTCCGGGTAACGCTAAAAGTAAGATAAAAGAACTTTTGTTTTGCTTTTCTTGTATTACAAAAAGCCACTCATGTCTGAAAAAGAATCAGCAATCAAACAAAGGTTCCTAAATTTACCTTGATATGATCTTCTTAAAGTTAGGTTAAAAAACTAAGAAATCTCTGTCATCATGTAAGAAGTTACATTCTTTTAGGACCTAATATCATAAAACAGGGACTGCAGTCAAAAATATGGTTTACTAATAAAAAATGCGTTATAACCTTCAAATAACCTTGAAAATTGATGCCAAGGTCAAGCTAATCAAAGTAATTAACACCCTTAGAATTTATTGATCTTTCACAAGCATTATGAACGGTAATATTACCAAGAAAACCACGTCATTTTAGAAAAAGTACGAATAATAGTTTTTTCAGACATTTGACCTTCATTTTTGACCTTTCCAAGGTCACAAAAAAAATTTTTGCACAAGAGAATTTTGATTTAAAATTTTCCGCTCTTCCCAAACCCGCACTCAAAAATAGGGGTTCCCATTTGAAAAAACCATCTTGACCTTGAAATGACCTTCAAAATTAACTTCAAGGTTAAAACTAATGGTACCGTCAAATGGCCCCCTTTGTCGTGATCAACTTTTGTCTGAAACATTTTTTTGCAGATGTCGTGGTTTAGAATCAATTCGGGTCCATAGATCAAAATGGGTCACCCTGTATATAACATGTTTATGATTTTTTTTCTCGAAAACTATCAACTTTTGGAAAAAATTAGAAAGAACAAAAAATTCTTAGAATTCATCAAAAAATACACTGGAATTTTTCCAGAATTTTTTATAAATTTTTAAAAATTTTCAAAAATCCAAAAAAAATAAATTTTCAAAATTTAATGAAAAAAAATCTGAAAAAATTCCAGTGTATTTCTTGATGAATTCTAAGAACTTTTCATTCTAAGCATTTTTTCAGAAAAGCTCATAGTTTTCAAGTTATAGCATTCTGAAATTTTTCAAAAAAATTATCACTTCGGACGCCATTTTGAGAACCGCCATGTTGGATTTTCGATTTTGTACCCCATATGTCTTAAAATTTAGGACTCGAGGACACGTTTATAGCTGTAAAAAGATGTGCATCTTTATCAATTTCTTAAAAAAATTTTGAATAAAAAATCTTTTTAAGTTGAAAAAATAGTTTTCTTTTGCAAATATTTGATTATAACTTTTTTAGCAGTGACTTTACACAAATTTTAAAGCCATATTCTGAAAGAACATCAAATTTTACGTCGGATATGATGTGTTGGAAATTTTTTTTGGTGCAGATAATATGAAAAATAACTGCATGAAGATTCGTTGAAAATTTAGGACATTTGGGCCTTAATGGGTTAAAAATTCCATTCAGTGGTATAATTTTTTTAATTATTAGAAATTATCATTTGCAAGATTAACGATGCCTCAGATCTGCTTTTGTGATTCAAGCCTTCTGCTACAACGTATTTATTCGTAATATGAATGCAACAGATAGCCTCTTTTAGTAAATAAACCGATTCAAATATTCAATAAGCAAAATCCATTCAAGCGTATTGAACATAAGTTAAGCTCTCACTTCAAAATATTATAACTACTTGAGTCATCCTAATAGTCAGGATGAGTTACTTTTTGAAATATTTTTTATATTTATATGATGCTTTTGCCAAGAAAAATTAGAACTTTGAATGTAAAGAATTAGTAAAAGTGGAATTAATAAAGGACTCATTAGGGCAATTCTTGGCTATTTCAAACAGTTTAAAACATCAAATCACCAATTTTATTCAAAGTTGGTAGACTTGTTACCTATATAGAGGTCAACATCTATGCAGAGTTTTAGATCAAAATATTGATAAGGGGCCGACTTATAAACTGTTGAAAAAATATTGGACTTTTTTTTTATTAATTCCATTTCTCAGAGACTAATAAAGATATGGACATGATTCTTTTTTTAAAAGACGCGAAAAGAGTTTCACTTTTAAAATGTAAATAGTAAAATACCAAATCATTTATTTAAGTCATTGTTATAAACAATTTTTTCAAAAAATCGACGATATCTCAAAAAACGATATTTTTTTAAAATTTTTGCCTCATCGTGTTCCTTGTCATTTTTTACATAAGAAACCGTTGAGAAAATCAACTGCCTGCTATTAGGATTAAGACAGCACTAAAATGAAACGAACCGCCCGCTAGCCGCTCGGCCGCTCAAATGTCCGCTACTCGTGCGGTTCCAACGTTGCTTGCTGCAATTGCCTTTAAGGAATAAATAATTTCATAGTCTTTTAATTATCAAGAGTTGATAAGTGGAATGCTAACAAGCTTCAAAAATTTAGGTTGCAATATGAGCATAAAGTTCCACTATTTGCATTCTCATTTGGATTGGTTTCCTGAAAATTTAGAATGTTAGCGAAGAGCAGGGTAGGCAGGGTTTGTTTCCCTCAGGCTGTCTCATCATTGAAGCTCCGTCAGACTATCTCAGTATCTATCTTCTCCACCGCAGCGGGAAAAGGAACGTAGAGTTTAAGTTATAGCGTCGTAGCTTACAGGATTCAAGGGTTGAGGATATTACGGCACAAGAGTCTGGGGTCATAGCAGGTTACAGGGCTCAAGAGTTAAAGCAATTAGGGTATAAGAGTCTGGGGTTATATCGTCACAGGTTACAGGGTTCGAGGTTTAACGAAATAGGGATTTAATGGTCTGGAGCTATACTTTGTTCTCAAACACATTGCAAGCCTCCGTCGCTGATTAGCACTGATGGATCATTTATAGAGACAACTAAAAAACTGCCTTTTTTGCCCTTTTAGGTTAGGATATCTAAAAAACCTGACGTGATGGACAAATTTTGACTCCAGATTCGAATTCGCAAAAAATTACTTCGGAAATGACCTTCCGTTGGCCAACCACAAAATCATGCAGATACGTGCTATCTATAAAAAGACTAAACATATAAACTGAAATCTAAGATTTTAGGCGTCAATGAAAATTAAGAATAGCATCCATGGATAGTAAATATCACGACACCGGTTAAATGTACTAGTAAATAAGTTTATGCATGAGTTAGTATTAGACATATGTAAACATTTAAAAAAGAACGAATTTTATAAAAAGCCTCATATCTCCATTATCTTCTGATCGTAAATTGTTTTTTCGGATACGGTAATTTTTGGTATTGATATAAAACTTTAAAGTTGAGTTAATTTTATGGCACAAGTAATCGAGGGTGGTATAATTTTGATTTTTCTACTCAATAATATAAATTTGTTTTATTAAAGCTTAATTTACTTCTGTATCTATAGTTTCAATAACAGTAAATAGTATAATAATAACAAAATAAATACCTGTGACATATACTCCAACGGACCATATAATACATTGTTCGTGTACCCAGACTTCGTAACAGTCATCTATTACATTTGTCATTGAAATATCCATGAAAGAATATTCCTTTTCTTCAGGAAAATACGTTTTCATCGTTTTCGATTTTGAAAGGAATTGATTTATTATTACCGGATATTTTGAACCATATTTATTTTCATTCTGCTGTTTTCCTTGAATATTGACTACTTTGACATCATTATTGTATGTAAGAATTGAATCACTTCCTGCAATATTTTGCATTACTGAAAATGGTCCGAAGAGATCGCTAAGTACACAAGCTGAAATCTTGAAATATATTTTATTGATTATATAATTAGTATTGAGTGCTTTAAAGAATTTTATGATAGTTTCTGATTTCTTCATGTAAAGTTTAACTATAGTATTTATTAATGGTTTATCTGTGGTGACTTCAAGATGATAAATTTGATACTGAGTTTATAATTGGGAAACACAAAATACCTCTGTTTTCTTTGCTTTTTGGATAGCCGTGCAAGAAATGAATATTGGGTGAAGAAATTATGACCTGAAAGATTGAAATGGAATGTTGGATAATATAACGTAGACTATTAAATCTTGAAGATACAAAGAGCATTTTTTTACCACCATTTCATACCAAACTAGATTTAATGAAGCACGTCCTTTTCTCGATTGAACGATGCGAAAATTAAGGAGGGTATTTTTGTTGGGCCAGACATAAGAAAAATTATGACAGAACCTTATTTTATCCAAGCTATTACACCTGTTAAAAAGGAAGCTTGGGTAAGTTTCAAAGTTTTAAAGTTGTTTGGGGTATTGAAGTTATGGTTAACCTGTCGTAGGTTTAAAATTCATGGGTTGTAGTATTTTGGGGGTTTGAACTTGTGGTTACCTGTTTATAGTATATAATGTGATTGAAGTTAATGTATATATGGTATACAGATGAAAACGTTAAAAGCTATATCAGCCCCTTGTAAACCTATTCTGCAACCTAACTGCTACAGAATGACACATGGAGACATAAATTACATTGGAAACAACAAAGCAATCCTTTTTTTCAATAGAGGTATTCAATGAAAATAAACTGTTACAAATTCATTATATTCATTAAAACTTCAGCTATAAAGATACAGTTATTGGGGACGATATTATCTTCACATCACTTTGCAAGCGTAAAACATAATGAAATATTCCCTCATTACAGAATAACATGCGCTATTGCACTTACGTATACAGCAAGACTCAACCATCTGAATTGAGTCAAAGAGCATTGGAAACGCTCATATTCTTGCCAACTACGACACCGAGTGGCGATTCAACCCTCCGTCTGCACCTCACTTTGGAAGCTTGTGGGAGGCTGCGGTAAAATATGTTAAATTTCACCTCAAAAGTGTTATCGGTGACTCTCTACTGACTGTTGAAGAGATGTCGACGTTACTCATGCAAACTGAAGCTTGTCTCAACTTAAGGCCAATTCAACCGTTTCAAGACGACTCGACGGATCTTAACGTGCTTACTCCAGCACGTTTTCTCATCGGGGTCTCACTCAGTTCCATCCTTCAACTTTCTCGACTGGATGCAAAGGTATCTATTTCAAAACGTTGTCATTTATTAAGACAAATATATGAGCTCTTTTGGTCTCGATGGTCGAAAGAATATCTTTATGAAATGCATCAAAGACCAAAATGGACGACAATATAACCGAATATTAAGGTAGATAAAATGTGCTTCGTTTACTGAAACACTTTGCCGCCAGGCAAATGGCTTCTCGCTTGCATTATCGTGACTATGCCAGGAAAAGATGGCCTCGTTCGAATTAACTCAGATACTTTATTAATTAATGAGAAGTGCATTCTACAAAAGAAAGTAATCATTGTTTTGGTGAATACATCACTATTAAAGGAAAATTATGGAAGTGATCAAAGGTCTTACATTTAAGATGTACTTATCGATGATCTACGAGAGGCTACTAGAGAAGGAAAAGGACGTTGAGGAAGATCAGACTATCGGTTCGAGTTGTTGAAGAACTGTGCTTGACTGATGTTTGCTCTCAAATTTATTTGTAACACCCCCACACACGAATCTTAAAAAGCCTTTACTGCTTTACTCTCTTTTTATACCCTCTTTGCATATTTTTGTTCCGGAAAATTGTAAGATTTTAACAAATGTAAACATTCACACATAAGACTTACACTTACACATACACATCTTGCATGTAATAGCACGCTACAGTACTCTCTACTTTTCAAAATCGCTATAATTGCCAAATGAAACGCAGCACACAAGTTTTCTCTTTAAGAAACATAGCCTTTATACCTTCTTCATGGCTTTACAGGTACAGTGTTAATTTTGCCGTTAAATAAATAGTTTATTGTTCTTTTAAAACTAAGTGATTAGTTATTGTGTCGTGCACCTACCATCTTCTGCACCTACGTCACCTACTCCTAATGCTTTTTTAAAATCAAGAATTTCTTGCAACATTTTTTTGTCAAACCGTTCGAAGTAAGGCAAAAATGATTATGTTTCCGTTTTTCAGTGAAAGGAAAAGTTGGAATCTCGATACCTTGAATTTGCCTCGATTAACAGAGTATGCGCATTCTTAACATGTTAAAAGTCTCCATCTCTCATTTCTCAAAGATTAACAGCTTATTCGAATATCTATCCCCTATTGATCAAGGATGGTTTAAGAAAAAACAAGGATCAAAGCGTCATTGCATAATCATCTGAGCTACGATGGATTCTCACTGGCTCAATGACTATTTCTTCTACATTCGTATCTCATCCGGTAACCAACCACAGTATCGTGATGGACCAAGATATCTTAGCTCTTATCGAGCGATTTTTTGGCAACAGGAAGAAGTAGAGTCATCCTCAAGCTCTCATCTAACGTAAAGCGAGACCGATTGTGAATATTTTACTTCAACGCACAAACGTACTCCGAAGGACAAATATGTTTTATGTCTACCTTTTAAGATACTTCCTCAAGTTGAACAATCATTTGATGTCGCTCGTTCCATGTTGGTTCACATGGAAAAACGATTTGTAGCGCTATCACAGCTACATCAATTATACAATGATTTTATGAACAATTATCTGGAACCCGATCATATGAAAAAAATCTTCACATCACCGAAAGACTGTATTATTCCAAGTGCTAGATATATCATAGGATAGGATGCTAGATATATCATAGTCCTAGATATCCACAACAGATAGCTTTAGTTTTAATCTTAATGTTTCTCTCTCTCAATCGCATATCACCAAAAGAACTGTTCTATCCTTTATTGAACTAATGGGATGGATTACGCCAGTTACAATCAACTTAAAGATTTTTATGTAGCGTTTATGGCTTGCAGGTATTTCATGAGATGAACCATTGCCTCAGGATCTATCGCAGAAAAGGAATGATTACCTTCAACAGTTTCATTCATTGTTAAAGTTTCGATGGATGGAATTCAACGCAAACCTCGGCCAAATTAACGGGATTGCTGATGCTTCTGAACGTATCTATGCACCCACCGTTTATTTAACCCATTAAAGTTAAATGTGCACGTTTGCACATGCCCACTTTCAACGCTGTATAAAGAATCGAATCGAGCAAAAATTTCTGATAGATTTTTCAATGAGCTTTCAGAATATGGGGTGAAAATTCTGAAAAAAGCTTTTTTGAGCCTCATTTTTGCAATTGTAGGAACAAAAATGTGGAAATTTTTTTTGAAAAACCAAAATTTTGAGCTAGATGTCTAAAATCTCCAGAAATCGTGCACAAACTATTTTTCCTTTAAAATCGTATCTCTAAGAACATCACAAATCAACTTCGCAAATCCAAAATGGCGTTCGAAAGTCAGAAAATATAATAAATTATTGACTAACTTTTTACTCAAAAAGAAATCGCTTTATGAAAAAATTTCACTGAACAAAAAGTGTTTAGAATTATCAAAGAATACGTGTAAGTTTTTCCAGAACGTTCTCGAAAATTTTCTAATTTTTCCGGAAAATGGCCAGAATAAAAAAATCGAAAGTGGCCCAAAACATCTTAGGAAAATTCACACGTATTCTTCGAATGATTCTAAGCACTTTTTATTGTATGAAACTTTTTCATCAAGCCAATCATTTTCGAATAAAAAAATAGCAAACTTTTACTCATGTTGAAACAACTAAAAATGTAGGCTATAAGCAAGATACCTACGAGGTGTGATCAAAAAGTAAGGTGAATTTTTATTTTTCTCAAAAATTATTTATTTATTCATCAATTTTTATTTTATCTCCTTCAAAGTAATCCCCCTTGGATATAATGCACTTGTGCCAACGCTTTTTCCAATCCTCAAAGCATTTCAAAAAATCATTTTTTGTGATCTTGTTTAGTTCATCCTTCGATGCAGTCTTTATCTCCTCAATCGTGGCAAAACGCCGTCCTTTCATGGGCCTCTTCAGTTTTGGGAACAAGAAGAAGTCACAGGGGGCCAGATCTGGGGAATACGGTGCCTGTGGCATCGTTACTGTGTTGGTTTTAGCCAAAAATTCGCGCACAAGCAACGATGTGTGAGCAGGGGCGTTATCATGGTGCAAAAGCCAATTTTTATTTTTCCACAAATTCGAACGTTTCTGGCGGATTGCTTCGCGCAAATTGCGCATAACTTGCAGGTTATATTCCTTATTTACTGTTCTACCCTGTGGCAAGAACTCATGATGCACAACGCCCCTGCAGTCAAAGAAAACTGTAAGCAAAACCTTTACATTTGATCGAACTTGGCGTGCTTTTTTTGGTCATGGTGATCCAGAATGCCTCCACTGGGACGATTGAGTCTTAGTCTCGACGTCATAACCGTATACCCATGTTTCGTCACCTGTTATAACCCTGTTGAGTAAATCTGGATCATCGTTGACGTCATTCAGTAGCTCTTGGGCGATGCTCATGCGACGTTTCTTTTGGTCGAAATTGAGCAATTTCGGAACAAACTTCGCTGACACACGTCTCATGTCTAAAACACTCGTCAAAATTGATTGGCACGAACCAAATGAGATGCCAATATCATCAGCAATTTCTCTAATGGTAATTCGACGATTTCCCAACACTATTTTCTTCACTTCTTCAACATTCTCATCAGTTGTTGATATGCTGGGGCGTCCAGAACGAGGTTCGTCGTCGGTGTCTTCTCGGCCTTCTTGGAAGAGTTTATACCACTTGTAAACATTTTTTTGGCTTAAAGTAGACTCACCGTATGCCACTTTCAGCATTTCAAGTGTTTTGGAACATTTGATTCCATTTTTCACACAAAATTTAATGCAAACTCTTTGATCCATGTTTT